ACTAATCACAAGAGCTTGAAATACGTGTTTACTCAGAAAGAGCTAAACATGAGACAGAGACGGTGGATGGAGTTGATAAATGACTACCATCTAGTGATAGAGTATCACCCAGGCAAGGCAAACGTGGTGGCAGATGCTTTGAGTCGGAAGAGCTCGTCTGGGGCATTGCTAGCTAATTTGAGGGCATTAAGAGCCCAACTGGAGGTATCCAGCGATGGTGCCTTATTGGCACGATTTGAGGTGAGACCTACTTTACTTGATGAGATCAAGAAGGGTCAAGAGACTGACGCAGAACTTATGAAGGTCCGGGAACGCATGCAAGCGGGACCGGTGGAGGATTTCAGGGAAAGAGATGATGGTCTCTTGTTATTTCGTGACCGAGTGTGTGTGCCGTCAGATGATGAGCTCCGAAAGTCCATCTTAGAGGAGGCTCATTCATCGGCTTATGCCATGCACCCGGGGGGCACGAAAATGTACCGTGATTTGAAAGAAAGTTACTGGTGGTCTGGAATGAAGAGGGAAATAGCCGAGTACATCAGCCGATGCCTTACTTGTCAACAAGTTAAGGCAGAACATCAGCATCCAGCAGGCTTGTTACAACCACTTTCCATTCCTGAGTGGAAGTGGGAACATGTGACTATGGATTTCGTGGTAGGTTTACCACGGACAATTCGGAACTACGATGCGGTTTGGGTTGTTGTGGATAGGCTCACAAAGAGTGCACACTTCTTGCCTATCAACACTACCTACTCACTTGAGAGGTTAGCCAAATTGTATACGGATGAGATCGTGAGGCTGCATGGGGTCCCAGTGACCATTGTATCCGATAGAGACCCACGATTCACATCACGTTTTTGGCCGAAATTTCAAGAGTCTATGGGAACGAGGTTGAAGTTCAGTACTGCTTTCCATCCACAGACGGATGGGCAGTCTGAGAGGGTTATACAGATCTTAGAGGATATGTTGAGGGCTTGTGCGTTAGAGTTCCAAGGAAGTTGGGACAACCACTTAGCACTCGTGGAGTTCGCCTATAACAACAGTTATCAGGCAAGTATCGGCATGCCTCCATACGAAGCATTGTATGGGAGGAGGTGTCGTACGCCGTTATGCTGGGACGAGGTTGGCATGGCCAAACTCGAGGGTACTGAGTTGGTTGAGATCACCAAGTCAAAGGTGAAGTTGATTCGAGAGAGACTCAAAGCGGCTCAGGATAGGCAAAAGAGTTATGCAGATAAGCGTCGGAGGACCTTAGAGTTTAAGGTTGATGACGAGGTATTCCTGAAAGTTTCTCCTTGGAAAGGAATCATTCGATTCCAAACCCGAGGAAAGCTTAACCCACGATATATAGGCCCATTCAGAATTATAGAGAGGATTGGGGCCGTAGCATATCGTCTACAGTTGACTCCTGAGTTGGAAAAGATACACAATGTGTTTCATGTATCCATGCTTAAGAAGTATGTGCATGATCCCTCTCACGTATTAGAAAAGCCGCCTGTGGAGGTACGTGAGGATTTGAACTACGCTGTGCGACCAATCAAGGTCACCGATAGGAAAGTGAAGAAACTGAGGAGCAAAGAAGTCCCGATGGTTAAAGTCCTTTGGAAGAGCGACCGGGTCGAAGAAGAGACATGGGAAACAGAGGCCTTGATGAGGAAACAGTATGCCTTCCTATTCGAGTAGAGCTGTGAATTTCGGGGACGAAATTCCTGTTAAGGGGGGGTGAACTTGTGACACCGCTCCCGAACGTCCTTGAAAATTCGATTTAAAATTCAAAGTTTATGTATTGAATTTCTGATTCCCAAACAATTGTGAAACGATTGTTGTTTTACGTAATTAATGATTGATTATTATACTGTTCGAACTCGTATATTAGTATCGGGCCTTATTAATAAATAAAAGATCCTAACATTATCTAAATAGTTATACATAACGTTTCAAGACAAGTTGAGGAAGGGCGGGCAGCCCATATATTATTTGGGCCCAACCTGCTAAAGTAGCAAATATTTGAGGACGGCGTCGTAGGCCCACTCGGGGGCGACCCACACGGCTTGTAGCCCAATAATATGAATGACAAATGTCAAGATAAGTGATAGGATGATTAAAGAAGAGTACAAATGCCTATAACCCCATCTTTGGCATTATTGAGCCAAATTATGGGAGTAGGATTTTCCTTCTATATTATCCATCAAGTAAATTATTGAGATGAGCCTACACATATTGGGGATCAATAATGTTATGTAGGAAGTTGACTTGTTCTAAATAAATTAGGATGAGTACAAAAAGACATCTTTGACAAAAGATAAAACAATAGGACCCATTCTTCCATTTTTGGGTGTATTGATAGATATTTTGGATCCCAAATTAATTGGGATCAATGGGGAACCACTCCACATGATATTAGTACCTGCAAGACAAGGAAAATATGTGAGAAGACTCACCTTGGCCGCACCACATGGAGAAGCACTGCCCATGACACAATTGGAATCAAATTTTGGGGCCACCACCACTGTTTTCGCACAAACAGGTGTGCTGTTTTGTCTCCCTTCATTTTGAGAGTTGTACTCGTCCAAATGAGGTGTATAAGGTGTCCTTGGATAGCCTTTGAAGTCTATTTTCATAATTGAGTGGTCTCTGTTCGAGAGGAGAGAGTAGTCATCCAAAAATCGATCTGAAGCGAGCAGTGGTCTGTGAACTCGAGCTGTGAGAGTGCTGAGACTGTTTGGTTGATATCTCGAGTTTTACCAATCCAATTAAGGCGTGTGAGATACCAAAAGAAAGCTCTCAAGACGAGGAATCCGTGAAGGTCTGGTTTGCATCAATCGGAGTAGAGGAAGGCTTCCAAATCGTCCGAGCAGAACGCGACCTCGCAGGGACGGATTTACTCTTCTAAGTGAGTTTTTAATCCCAAAACCTTTCCATTCGTTTTCCAAATGATATGAACGATTGGTGGGACTATTATACACTACTCCAAGTGTATAAAACATCCCTATTAAGTTATTTTATTGATGTAAAGGTTAGATACTAACCTAGATGCAAATATTGGAAAACTAGGAATCGAGTTAGCCGGAAAACACCCGTTCTAGGGGCTGTTTTCGTATCAACGATTAGGAGTTGAAATAGCAACTTGAGGAAGCTGTTTAACACCCATTTTCAAGCAAGGAACCAGCTCTCAATATTCCTTGGCCGAGGCTTTGGTCATTGGATCGAGAAGGAAGGTTTTAAAGCTCATTTGAGGTGAGGACCGACATCTAGTTGCTTACAACTTGTAGGTTATGCATGAGATTACCTAAATGCTTAAATCATGTTTTTGTGAATAAATATGCTTGAACATGATATGAATGATAAGTAATGGACTTGATCATAAATTGAAACCATATTGATGAATATGGAGTCATGTGAGATAAAAGTATGCTAAAATGGTAAATTGACCTTCCAACTCATGTATGAATGTTATGTGTATGTAAATGTATGATTGCATGATGATGCTTAGCACATGGGAGGCTGCCACATATCTATTGATATGGAGGGGCTACCATTAATGATAAATGAGTTGTAGGAATAATCTTAATAGTATTGTGATGCTAGTTAAGGATTGTTCTAAATGTTGATAGAACCAAACTTAAAGGTTGAGTTTGTTTGTGATGAACTTGAATGAGATTCAAGTGTCAATTGGGAAATCATGGAGTAGGAGATCTATGGTGTGGTTTTATGAAGTAGGAGATCTATGGTGTGGTTTTATGAAGTAGGAGATCTATGGTGTGGTTTTATGAAGTAGGAGATCTATGGTGTGGTTTTATGAAGTAGGAGATCTATGGTGTGGTTTTATGAAGTAGGAGATCTATGGTGTGGTTTTATGAAGTAGGAGATCTATGGTGTGATTATATGAAGTAGGAGATCTATGATGCGAGTGCATGATGATGTACTCGAGCCGAACTCTAGAAATGAGAAGTTGTATTAGGGTTGGACCCTACGTATGTCGTGACCATTAGTCACGGGGTTTTGGAAAATGTTTTATAACAAACATGGGCCTTTGAGCCGACTACTTGACTTTATATAAAGTAAGTATATATTTTGAAAGGGGTAATTTGAGATTACGGCCTATACTATATTATCACCCTATTTGAGGGTCTTGTGTGTGAAATACTTGTTGTATATCTATTAGATGCCTGCCACACCAGCACTTTATAGCCCTATAGAGTGCTGACCCCTTCGGGGGCGTCCCACCACCATTTTTCAGGTTGAGGCTAGAGCTTGCTTCCTGTGCTCGTTGCTCGAGAGATCATCTAGGAGGGAAGATTTGGTTCGTGCTTCCTCCATTCGTTTTTTAAACATTAATAAACATGCTCATGGATATTTTACTTTAGAGCCTGCGTGCTCATGAATAGCCCTGTGTGGCCCTTTGTTTTAAACAATGTTTTCCGCTGCGTTATGAATTACTTATTATGTTTGTTTATGGATGGCTTACGTGTGAATGATATTCGGGACGCCTTGTATAATATGAATGTGTTGGACTGCGGTTGACCATTCGTATTGTACGGCGGGTTGTTGACGTGTCCGGGGAGGTCCGGGGCGTGACAATTAAGTTGGTATCAGAGCCTTAGTCCATAAACTTCATAATGAAGTCTCAAAATTCTCTTTTCAAAATGATTTTTGAAAACCATGAGCAAAAACGTTTTGTACTTAAGAACTTTTGGTGTTTGAGTTGCAAGGTCTCTAATTGTTAAGATGGCGCCCTTAACGATTGGTATGGCGGTGACTTGGCCCAAGAGATGTCTTAAGTGCCTATCTGTCAGTTGACATTTGAAACGAGTCTAATGACTCATTCTAATTATTTCTTTCAGCGATGGAGGGTGATGGTGGTATTATGAATAGGGAGAACTCGGAAGGGTTTGCACCGGGTGGAACCGGGCATGCCAACCGAGAAAAGCCCTTAGGACCAAAGGTGCACGAAACTCTTGAAGCTCAAATCGTGAGTGGTGGTCATGTTAAGACCAAGGAAGAATCACCTTGTTATGGCAAAACTGAACCACTCAAGGCTTCGGGTGACGAAGGAGATGATTTGAGTGATGAGGACCTTGATGGTGCACCCATTGAACAAATGGGCATGGTCATAGATTGGCTTCAACGTGAACGTGTGAGGCTTATACAAAAACGCCAAGCTAGGCAAGCTGAGGGCATACCATTAGTAAGGAAAAGGAAGCGGGGAGACAACGATTCCCAAAGACATTCAAGGAGGACAAACGTTGAGGGTGACAAAACCTTCAGGGCGCAGACACTATCACTTGAGTGGAGTCGAGGCTTAGGTGGCCCGAACTCGAGGTCAAAAGGTCCGAGGGTACCTAAGTGCAACAATTGCAAGAAACACCACTCGGGTAAGTGTCAGGACCCTCCCAGGTGCTATCAATGCACAGAGGTCGGGCACACGAGAGTGAGTTGCCCACAAATTGTGCAAAACCAAACTTCGGGGTCAAGTGGTGGAACTACAAGAAATGAAAACCAAACCGAGGTTTCTCAAGGGAGCAGGGGACATGGGGGAGCAAGCACGAGCAACGCGCCATCCGTGAACCAAGGAAGGACCCAAGCTAGGGTCTATGCGATGACGGAGGCGGATGCTCAAGCTAACCTGGATTCCGTTGAAGGTAGTACCTCTTGTATACTTGTTTTTTATCCTTAATTAGTCCATAAATTGAGGTTGCTAGTCGTTGGGATCATTGTACGAAGCTTTGGGGTCAAACGGAGCGAAATCGGGCGAAAGACGGCTGATTTCCGCCAACGCACACCAGGCTGGACCATACGCACGGCCGTGCGTTGTCCGTGCGTTGGTCCGTGCGTTGGTGGCAGTAGCAACCGGGAAGAAATTGCTATACGCACAGCCGTGCGTTGTCCGTGCGTTGGTCCGTGCGTTGGTGGCAGTAGCAACCGGGAAGAAATTGCTATACGCACGGACGTGCGTTGGTCCGTGCGTTGGTCCGTGCGTTGGTGGCAGTAGCTCCGTTTTGAGGTTATAAGACACGCACGCCGTGCGTACCTCCTAGGCACGCCGTGCGTACCTCCTGGGCAGCCCAAAGTCGACTTTTTCGCGCCGTATTGCAACGTTAAGACCCGTTCTTGATCCCAAACATGTGTGTGAACATTGTAACCTTCTATAAATGAGTAGGGAGGGTAGGAGAAATGTCTTACATGGTTCATGAATGTAGGGACACTAAAGATTAATGGGAAGGATGCGCGAATCCTTATCGATACCGGGGCGCAACGTTCATTTGTGAATGAAGCGTTCGCCAAGAGATTGGAAGTGCAATCCGCACTGTTGATGCAAACCTTAGTGGTATCAACACCACTAGGGGATGACGTGGAAAGAACTTGTTACTATCCATCTTGTGGGGTGGAAGTTAAGGGTCAAACCTTGACGTGTGACTTCGTACCGCTGAGCATGATTGAATTCGATGCAATCCTAGGGATGGATTGGCTAGAAAGGAACCATGCTAGGGTAGATTGCTACACGAAGGTTCTTGAACTCGAAGGCAATGATGGGGAGACCCTACGCTTCGAGGGCGATCGAGGGAGATCAAATAGTTGTATCATATCCGCCGTGAGAGCGAGAAGTATGATGAGAAAGGGATGCCACGCATATCTAGCATACGTGGTTGACAAAACCAAAGAAGAAACGAACATCGATGATGTGAGGGTGGTTTGTAAGTATCCGGGTGTCTTCCCTAAAGACCTACCGGGGCTTCCACCTGATAGAGAGATTGAATTTGTGATCGAGGTCGAGCCCGGCACCAAACCAATCTCCATACCGCCATACCGTATGGCACCCGCTGAACTTAACGAGTTGAAAACCCAATTGCAAGAGCTTTTGGATAATGGTTTCATTAGCCCAAGCCACTCCCCGTGGGGAGCACCAGTTCTTTTTGTGAAAAAGAAGGATGGGACACTTCGAATGTGTATTGACTATCGTCAACTGAACAAGGTCACAATCAAGAATAGGTATCCTTTGCCTAGAATTGATGACTTGTTTGATCAACTACGAGGAGCAACCGTGTTTTCGAAGATTGACTTGAGGTCGGGGTACCATCAATTGAAGATTAAGGAAGACGACATACCAAAGAGTGCTTTCCGCACAAGGTATGGGCATTTTGAGTTCCTTGTTATGTCGTTTGGGTTAACAAACGCCCCAGCGGCATTCATGGACTTGATGAACCGAGTATTCCGCAAATACTTGGATCGATTCGTGATTGTGTTCATAGATGACATTTTGATTTACTCAAAGAATGAGGAAGAGCATGAAGAGCACTTGATACTCGTTCTTGAGACACTACGGGAGAAGCAACTTTATGCCAAATTTTCTAAATGTGAATTTTGGCTAAAGGAAATTGGCTTTCTCGGGCATGTGGTTTCGGGATCGGGAATTGCTGTTGATAATAAGAAGATAGAGGCCATTACTGAATGGGAGAGACCAAAGAATGTCAAGGAAATTTGTAGTTTCCTTGGACTGGCAGGCTACTACAGAAAGTTCGTGGAGAAGTTCTCTGTTTTGGCATCACCATTGACGAAGCTCACTCGTAAAGGAGCTAAGTTTGTATGGGATGACAAATGTGAGGAGGGGTTCATGGAACTAAAGAAGCGATTGACCGAGGCACCGGTACTTGCATTACCCAAACAGGATGTGGGGTACGATGTCTATAGCGATGCGAGCATCCAAGGGCTTGGATGCGTACTGATGCAGAATGGGAGGGTAATCGCCTATGCTTCACGACAGTTGAAGAAACATGAGGTGAATTATCCTACTCATGACTTGGAGCTGGGGGCTGTGGTGTTTGCACTGAAGATATGGAGACATTATCTCTACGGGGAGACATGTCACATATACACTAATCACAAGAGCTTGAAATACGTGTTTACTCAGAAAGAGCTAAACATGAGACAGAGACGGTGGATGGAGTTGATAAATGACTACCATCTAGTGATAGAGTATCACCCAGGCAAGGCAAACGTGGTGGCAGATGCTTTGAGTCGGAAGAGCTCGTCTGGGGCATTGCTAGCTAATTTGAGGGCATTAAGAGCCCAACTGGAGGTATCCAGCGATGGTGCCTTATTGGCACGATTTGAGGTGAGACCTACTTTACTTGATGAGATCAAGAAGGGTCAAGAGACTGACGCAGAACTTATGAAGGTCCGGGAACGCATGCAAGCGGGACCGGTGGAGGATTTCAGGGAAAGAGATGATGGTCTCTTGTTATTTCGTGACCGAGTGTGTGTGCCGTCAGATGATGAGCTCCGAAAGTCCATCTTATAGGAGGCTCATTCATCGGCTTATGCCATGCACCCGGGGGGCACGAAAATGTACCGTGATTTGAAAGAAAGTTACTGGTGGTCTGGAATGAAGAGGGAAATAGCCGAGTACATCAGCCGATGCCTTACTTGTCAACAAGTTAAGGCAGAACATCAGCATCCAGCAGGCTTGTTACAACCACTTTCCATTCCTGAGTGGAAGTGGGAACATGTGACTATGGATTTCGTGGTAGGTTTACCACGGACAATTCGGAACTACGATGCGGTTTGGGTTGTTGTGGATAGGCTCACAAAGAGTGCACACTTCTTGCCTATCAACACTACCTACCCACTTGAGAGGTTAGCCAAATTGTATACGGATGAGATCGTGAGGCTGCATGGGGTCCCAGTGACCATTGTATCCGATAGAGACCCACGATTCACATCACGTTTTTGGCCGAAATTTCAAGAGTCTATGGGAACGAGGTTGAAGTTCAGTACTGCTTTCCATCCACAGACGGATGGGCAGTCTGAGAGGGTTATACAGATCTTAGAGGATATGTTGAGGGCTTGTGCGTTAGAGTTCCAAGGAAGTTGGGACAACCACTTAGCACTCGTGGAGTTCGCCTATAACAACAGTTATCAGGCAAGTATCGGCATGCCTCCATACGAAGCATTGTATGGGAGGAGGTGTCGTACGCCGTTATGCTGGGACGAGGTTGGCATGGCCAAACTCGAGGGTACTGAGTTGGTTGAGATCACCAAGTCAAAGGTGAAGTTGATTCGAGAGAGACTCAAAGCGGCTCAGGATAGGCAAAAGAGTTATGCAGATAAGCGTCGGAGGACCTTAGAGTTTAAGGTTGATGACGAGGTATTCCTGAAAGTTTCTCCTTGGAAAGGAATCATTCGATTCCAAACCCGAGGAAAGCTTAACCCACGATATATAGGCCCATTCAGAATTATAGAGAGGATTGGGGCCGTAGCATATCGTCTACAGTTGACTCCTGAGTTGGAAAAGATACACAATGTGTTTCATGTATCCATGCTTAAGAAGTATGTGCATGATCCCTCTCACGTATTAGAAAAGCCGCCTGTGGAGGTACGTGAGGATTTGAACTACGCTGTGCGACCAATCAAGGTCACCGATAGGAAAGTGAAGAAACTGAGGAGCAAAGAAGTCCCGATGGTTAAAGTCCTTTGGAAGAGCGACCGGGTCGAAGAAGAGACATGGGAAACAGAGGCCTTGATGAGGAAACAGTATGCCTTCCTATTCGAGTAGAGCTGTGAATTTCGGGGACGAAATTCCTGTTAAGGGGGGGTGAACTTGTGACACCGCTCCCGAACGTCCTTGAAAATTCGATTTAAAATTCAAAGTTTATGTATTGAATTTCTGATTCCCAAACAATTGTGAAACGATTGTTGTTTTACGTAATTAATGATTGATTATTATACTGTTCGAACTCGTATATTAGTATCGGGCCTTATTAATAAATAAAAGATCCTAACATTATCTAAATAGTTATACATAACGTTTCAAGACAAGTTGAGGAAGGGCGGGCAGCCCATATATTATTTGGGCCCAACCTGCTAAAGTAGCAAATATTTGAGGACGGCGTCGTAGGCCCACTCGGGGGCGACCCACACGGCTTGTAGCCCAATAATATGAATGACAAATGTCAAGATAAGTGATAGGATGATTAAAGAAGAGTACAAATGCCTATAACCCCATCTTTGGCATTATTGAGCCAAATAATGGGAGTAGGATTTTCCTTCTATATTATCCATCAAGTAAATTATTGAGATGAGCCTACACATATTGGGGATCAATAATGTTATGTAGGAAGTTGACTTGTTCTAAATAAATTAGGATGAGTACAAAAAGACATCTTTGACAAAAGATAAAACAATAGGACCCATTCTTCCATTTTTGGGTGTATTGATAGATATTTTGGATCCCAAATTAATTGGGATCAATGGGGAACCACTCCACATGATATTAGTACCTGCAAGACAAGGAAAATATGTGAGAAGACTCACCTTGGCCGCACCACATGGAGAAGCACTGCCCATGACACAATTGGAATCAAATTTTGGGGCCACCACCACTGTTTTCGCACAAACAGGTGTGCTGTTTTGTCTCCCTTCATTTTGAGAGTTGTACTCGTCCAAATGAGGTGTATAAGGTGTCCTTGGATAGCCTTTGAAGTCTATTTTCATAATTGAGTGGTCTCTGTTCGAGAGGAGAGAGTAGTCATCCAAAAATCGATCTGAAGCGAGCAGTGGTCTGTGAACTCGAGCTGTGAGAGTGCTGAGACTGTTTGGTTGATATCTCGAGTTTTACCAATCCAATTAAGGCGTGTGAGATACCAAAAGAAAGCTCTCAAGACGAGGAATCCGTGAAGGTCTGGTTTGCATCAATCGGAGTAGAGGAAGGCTTCCAAATCGTCCGAGCAGAACGCGACCTCGCAGGGACGGATTTACTCTTCTAAGTGAGTTTTTAATCCCAAAACCTTTCCATTCGTTTTCCAAATGATATGAACGATTGGTGGGACTATTATACACTACTCCAAGTGTATAAAACATCCCTATTAAGTTATTTTATTGATGTAAAGGTTAGATACTAACCTAGATGCAAATATTGGAAAACTAGGAATCGAGTTAGCCGGAAAACACCCGTTCTAGGGGCTGTTTTCGTATCAACGATTAGGAGTTGAAATAGCAACTTGAGGAAGCTGTTTAACACCCATTTTCAAGCAAGGAACCAGCTCTCAATATTCCTTGGCCGAGGCTTTGGTCATTGGATCGAGAAGGAAGGTTTTAAAGCTCATTTGAGGTGAGGACCGACATCTAGTTGCTTACAACTTGTAGGTTATGCATGAGATTACCTAAATGCTTAAATCATGTTTTTGTGAATAAATATGCTTGAACATGATATGAATGATAAGTAATGGACTTGATCATAAATTGAAACCATATTGATGAATATGGAGTCATGTGAGATAAAAGTATGCTAAAATGGTAAATTGACCTTCCAACTCATGTATGAATGTTATGTGTATGTAAATGTATGATTGCATGATGATGCTTAGCACATGGGAGGCTGCCACATATCTATTGATATGGAGGGGCTACCATTAATGATAAATGAGTTGTAGGAATAATCTTAATAGTATTGTGATGCTAGTTAAGGATTGTTCTAAATGTTGATAGAACCAAACTTAAAGGTTGAGTTTGTTTGTGATGAACTTGAATGAGATTCAAGTGTCAATTGGGAAATCATGGAGTAGGAGATCTATGGTGTGGTTTTATGAAGTAGGAGATCTATGGTGTGGTTTTATGAAGTAGGAGATCTATGGTGTGGTTTTATGAAGTAGGAGATCTATGGTGTGGTTTTATGAAGTAGGAGATCTATGGTGTGGTTTTATGAAGTAGGAGATCTATGGTGTGGTTTTATGAAGTAGGAGATCTATGGTGTGATTATATGAAGTAGGAGATCTATGATGCGAGTGCATGATGATGTACTCGAGCCGAACTCTAGAAATGAGAAGTTGTATTAGGGTTGGACCCTACGTATGTCGTGACCATTAGTCACGGGGTTTTGGAAAATGTTTTATAACAAACATGGGCCTTTGAGCCGACTACTTGACTTTATATAAAGTAAGTATATATTTTGAAAGGGGTAATTTGAGATTACGGCCTATACTATATTATCACCCTATTTGAGGGTCTTGTGTGTGAAATACTTGTTGTATATCTATTAGATGCCTGCCACACCAGCACTTTATAGCCCTATAGAGTGCTGACCCCTTCGGGGGCGTCCCACCACCATTTTTCAGGTTGAGGCTAGAGCTTGCTTCCTGTGCTCGTTGCTCGAGAGATCATCTAGGAGGGAAGATTTGGTTCGTGCTTCCTCCATTCGTTTTTTAAACATTAATAAACATGCTCATGGATATTTTACTTTAGAGCCTGCGTGCTCATGAATAGCCCTGTGTGGCCCTTTGTTTTAAACAATGTTTTCCGCTGCGTTATGAATTACTTATTATGTTTGTTTATGGATGGCTTACGTGTGAATGATATTCGGGACGCCTTGTATAATATGAATGTGTTGGACTGCGGTTGACCATTCGTATTGTACGGCGGGTTGTTGACGTGTCCGGGGAGGTCCGGGGCGTGACACCACATGTGCACCGTGCACATTTTAGCATTGGAGATGCTCTTAGTGACTACAATGGTACATGCTCAAAATTTACATCGTAGTTACTAAATATAAATTACTGTGATTTAAATTTTGAATATAATTATAGTCACAAATAATTACTAAAACACATTTTTGTCCATCACATTTTAATTAGTAATATTGAAGGAAAAATCTCTTATAAGATACTCCCTCCTTATTTATTTATATGTTCCCTACATTTGCTTTTGGCACAATATTTAGGATAGCATAGTAAGAGTAGTGAATAGTGTAGAAAAAGTATGAGAGAATGTGTAAAAGTATGAAAGAGAAGATAAAAAGTAAATAAAGTAAGGGTAGTTGAGTACTTTATAAAGGATAAACTTACTAAAAATGACAGTGTATGGAACTTTTAAATACATTCCAAAAATGAAAGTGTATAAAACTTTTAAATACGGAGGGAGTGTGATATTCTATTTTTTTATAGATAGACAGATTGCAAATACACAAAAGATTTGAGATTAAAGGGGTGTTTGGAACTGATTTTGCTTTTGTTTCTTTTTTAAAAGCGGATGCAAAATCAAAATCAATTTTTCAAACATTGATCTCCCCTAACTACTAAAAACCTGCTTTCAGGAGTAATTTGATGCATCCAGAAGTACTACCACACGTTCATACATACACTCCAATATTTACTTCTGCATTTACTTCTGCATTGAGGAATACATTTGTTTCTGAAGTTGCAAAAGCACTTTTAATGGACCAAAACCAATCAACCTAGAAACGACTTCAGCCGTCTAATCAATTTGGAGGTCCCGGTTCAAATGGTGAATTGAGGCTCTTAAAAAAAGAAGAGATATAACATTTAACAATGAAATACAAATAGACTAGATAGTTCAATAAAATATAAATTTTATGATGTTTAAAGTACACAAATTAGAGAATTTAAAAGTGATATACCCAGTGGCGGCTTGAGAATTTCGGAGGCCCTAGACGAAAAAAATATTTATTACACCAAACCATATTGAAAATCAGATAAATGAAAAAAAAAACGTCACAGAGTATTTAACATCTACAGATTCACGGAGTATTTACCTCATAAATAGAAAAATTATACTCCTTCATAATTAAATAAAAGATACTAAAACATAAGAAAAATAAAAATATTATTATACCAAAGTATATTGGTTTTAACTAAAAATAAAATACATTATGGCTTAAATGGAAAATACATATTCCGTATAAATATGATACCAAGTACAAAATTTAAAAAAATCTACATAAATACATTTGAGAGATGATACAAATAATTAGGAAGCATATCAATAGTGTATGGAGTAATTAGTTATGTACTAGTAGTATCTAATAAAAATGTCTTAAAGTCAAATGATATAAAAATCACAAGCAACGTGATTGAGCAACTTAATACCGTTTGGTTGAGTGGTAGGGAGGGTACAATTTTCGAGTTCAGGTTGTAGGTTCGATTCTTATAGAGGACGCATCACTTTCTCCTAAGTTCATGCTTCACACGTGTTATACCCCTAATACTAATTTTTAATTTCATTTTGGAGGCCCCTTTGGCAGCTGAGGCCCAAGGCAGCTGCCTGGCCCAACTGGCCCCAAAGCCGGCCCTGGATATACCTTTTGGAATCTTGAATAATACCTAACATCTACGAAAAATCAACATATACATAATACTACATTCTAAATTTGTGGAGGTCCATAAAATAGCTCCCGGACCAGAACACTGACTAGGACTCGGTAATTTCTTTTGTTGTCTTTCATTCATACGGGTACAGTAACACTGTAGATCCTACAAGATTTCTACAACTACGAGGGTCCCTAATGAAGTTCGACCCCACCCATATGCGAGTCCAAACCAGCAAGCAAACCGGAGCGAAATGGAATGCAGGAAGTCTTTCTTTCTAGTGCTTCTTCTCGCATCCATTGACAAGCCCTCCACCAGTCTTTTCCGTCCTAGCTTCCACTCCACCCACAGGGATTACATTTGATTTGCTTCTCATTCTCCCGAAAATTGAGCTCATTTCTTGAAAAAAGATTGGATTTTTACCCCGAATCTCAATCTGGGCTTCTTCCTGTGTGTGCAGAAATAGTAATTTTTCCTGTCTGTTTCAGCTGGATGTTTCAATGAGTGGCTCTCATTTTATTTTAATGGCTTCCGCAAATATTATTCTCATGGGGGGCCATTTCCCATTTCTTGTTTCCTGGAGTTGATGTTTCTCTCCTTGTAGCTTGTTTTCTGCATACTGTTTTTGTTTGAGCCTGGAGAAGTGTGCTGAACTTTTGGGCCTTCACCACTGTTCTTGGAAGGAGATTTGTGAATTGTGAAGACCGGGAAATCTGATGAGGATGTTGGGGTCAGGAGTGAATCTAATTACAACAATTATTGGGTTTGGGATGAGTGCAACTTTCATCGTATTTGTGTGTACTAGGTTGATTTGTGGGAGGATTCGCCGCAGGCAAATGTTTGAGATTGAATCTAGGAATATTGATATTCATCAACTGGTAATAATGTCTCTTCCCTGCTTCTTCAACGACACTTTATTGTCTAGTCTTTTTTTTCCTTGAGGAAAGTTTGTAGGAATCACTCAATTGTGTCAATGCTGATGATCTGTAGTTGTCTATGTATCTGTTGTTACGGGAGATCCTTGTGCTATAGATACTACTTTGCTTTAATTAGTAAAACAATGATTTTTTTTGTTTTTCCCTTTTAAGCCAAAGTTTAGTAAGCTGGACTCGTATTCTGAAAATAGGGCCTATTCACTTTTTTAAAAAGAATTTCCAAATAATTTTATTCTTTTTAAGAGAAATTACTACGAATAGGAGTACCCTTATTTTGTGCTAAAAATCAGTTCTTGGAATATTTAAAAAAAGTAGTTGATAAACACATAGAGAAAGCCATGTTGGAGACCTGAGCTGGATGAGAAAGCCATCTAACAGTAGTGGAAACTTCTTTTTCATGAGAGAATGAGCCCTATTTTAAGGAAAAAGAATTATTTCCCTATTTGAATAATTTGGTATGTTATAGCCGTATTTATGAAAGTTTCCCTTCTTTTTAGGATCGAATGAATCTTATTTTTAGCACAAACGAAAGATACTCCAATTTGTGCAGGTAGCCTATATTTTACTCCTGTTTGCAGTAAAAAATTACATGTCATTATATCACATACGAAGTATATGTTATTTATGTGTTCTTCATCCCTTGTCTCCAGTTACTCATGCTGCCCTTTACAGTGTAAACAAATGATCAAACAAAACATTAACAATGGAAGATAGATTAATCTTCTTGATGCAATTTATTATGTCCTGGTTGCTTTTATTATATTCACTTATATACGGAGTAACATATTGTCATTCTTTTTAAATAATATTCATTTAAATGCTGGAGCTCATGGGGCATGACTTATAATTTGAAAAAACAAATGTTTGTTTTTAAAGCCAGAGCACCGAGATGATAATGGGCTTGACCCAGTTGTGGTTGCTGCAATTCCCACACTGAAGTTCCACCCAGAAGCTTTTACTCCTTCTGAAGAGACACAGTAAGTGCTCCAACTTGTCTTTAAATATCTGCAATGATCTTCATTTGGCAAGTTGTATGCAATGTAAAACAGTCTACTCATAGTAGACATTTTTAGAAATGTCTGTAAAGTGATTGCATTACATTGCAGACTTGCTAACTTGTTTCTTTACTGGATATTTAATCTAACTGAACTGTCAGTTTAAAGGCCACACTTTTCAGCCTGTATGTTTCTTAGGTCTCAAATTTGAACTCTATGAGCTCATATGCACTTGAAAGGACATACTTTGCCTGTAATAAGACGACGACAACAACAACAACAACAATATTAATCCAGTGCCGCAAAGGCTCTCACCTGTGGTGGGGTTTTGCTTGTAATAAGATGTGTTGAAGAAATTGTCTCACATTGGTTAAATATATGAAATAAATAACAAACTGGCATAGAAAATTTTAGACTTCTCCCTTATTAAAGGGTTGCCATTTTTAGAAATTCAATTCCTTACAAGATGTTGTTCCACTTCAAAACATCAAACGAATACTTAAGACTATTATGTTTTGGATTTCTTAATTGGTTGGAATCAATCTTTGGGTGTGGAAATGTGCATTGCAGGTGTATCATATGCCTCGCGGAGTATCAAGAGAAGGAAGATCTAAGAATAATGCCGGATTGTGGCCATACATTTCACCTCTCTTGCATTGATACATGGCTCAAGAAACAGTCAACCTGCCCCGTTTGCCGGTTTTCTGTACAGGAATCTTTTGAAAGAAAACAAATGCTTGGTTTCAACCCATCCTTTAATAGTTCTGAGTTCTCAATGGGGCATTCCCGTCAATTTCTGCTTGCTGCTGCTGCTCAGCGCTCGCTGGCTGATGCAACAAATGACATTAGAGACGTTGATGATTCTGTTGTTGTAGACATCGAACCTTCTGCTGGTCCTGCTGAAGCACCATCAAGAACATGATCAAAGTAGAAATTCATCATCTTCTGTTTTTTTCCTCGCAATAATTTTCTTGTTGAGAGTGTGGACTTTTGTAGTCTCAACGGCTAGCTGAGAAGTCAAAATGGACATAAATTTTCTGTAAATATTTTCTGCTGAGTATTAATTAGCCCATCTGTTTTCTTTTTGTCTCTTTACATTTCTAGAGAGATTACATACTTCAAGCCTCCCAATGTGTAATGCTAAGCAGCTAAGGGCATCCCCAATAGTTGGACCTTGGGGTGTTTGTGGTCTAGTCTGATATGGTCTAGTACAAGTTGAAAGTTGAAACCAGACTAGCACAATATTAGTTTTCGGTATTGTTTCATGTTTTAGAAAATTTCTTTCATGACAACAAACACCCCAATTTGGGCTGGGATCATAATATTAGGGGAGGATCTAGGATGGACCGGGCCCAGTCTGGTTCCGGTTCGGGTCTCGATGGTTTTGGCTAAGGCCCGGAACCGGCCCAGGAGTCTACCGGTTCCGGTTCAATTTTTTTTTGTTTTCTTATTTATTTCAACCTCCATCCCCCCAAAACCCTCGGAAACACCCAGCCCACCTAAACCCAGCCCAAACCCAAAAAAAAGCCCGAACCGGGCCCAGACCGGCCGGGCCGGTTCGCCTTTTTCAG